TGGGAGACGGATCAACAGATTCGGGCTTCGTCCTCAGTAATGAGGGCGTTGCTTCGGTCGGTCATGGTGAAGAAAGAGTTGAGTTGAAGGTCTGTCTACGTTCCAACCCTCACCTCTGGTCAGGAGGTTTGGATCAGTGGTTCAGGCATCTGATCGTCATCCGACTCATTTTAGGTCGTTTATTTCCACAAAATTAATATTTTTGTGTAATCCAGTAACTTCGATGTCAGAGACGTGTTTTAATATCGGGGTTATACACGAGTGTTTTCACAATAACTCTGTAAATCTGCTGAGGCTCAGATGTCCCAGTGTGTCACCAGCCTTGAACGCAGCGTGAACCCGGACGTAAGAAAGTCTCCAGTCACATTCACAGGCAAGTTGATCCGACCACAGCAGGTGATTTGGGCATATGTATTTGATAATTTGTATGTGAAGAATATTCCATCCATTATCTTTTATTTTTATTATCCCGCTTCTTCCTTTTTGGCCCATGTCCAGCAATCACTGTGCGAGAGGCGGGGGACACCTGGACGGGTCTCCAGTCCATCACAGGGACACACAGAGACAAAAGAGACAAACAATCATTCTCTCTCGCTCTCATCTACGGACAATTTAGAGTTACCAGTCAGTCTAACATACATGTTTTTGGTCTGTGGGAGGAAACCGGAGTATCTGGAGAAAACCCACGCATGCACGGAGAGAACATGCAAACTCCACCCAGAAATTCAAAAAGCGTGTATACAGATGTTGTTGTACTCTTGTGCGACTACTTTTGATTTATCGTCGTGCCGGGTTACCTGGATGAGTTCTGATGATGTCATCTCTTTGCCGATGTCTGCGCTGTCGGAGATCATGGACTCCGGGAAGAAACGCTGCAACAGGAAGCAGAGTCGTTAAACGTCTTTAAGAAACCGACGCACTTCCTCAGACGGAGACACGGCTCGTCTCTGCCGAGCTTTACGATGGTCCAACGAGAGATGAATCTCGATCGTTCCCGGTTTCTGCGTACCGTTGGGTTCCTGAAGAACTCGTACTTGGCGTAGTTTTTGCAGAAAACAAATCTCGTGTTGTTTTTTGGAGACCAGGTGCCTTGAACATCCAGCACGACCTCGTGGTCCTCCAGACATCTCTCTGCAGACGACAGCATTTAATAAACCAAACCTGAAGTTTCGGCTCGTTTCCGGTTGAACTCGGACTTACCCAGAGCCAGTGAGGGATGGTGCTCCAGGAGGGCCCAGTTCTCCTGGTCCGTGCAGTGAGCCGTCTGGACCAGCAGGTGGCACACGTCCCGGGCCGTGGCTCGTCGAGGAACCCACAGCGATTTGCAGTGGACGTCCTCTCCGTAGACTCTGACGAGCTGAAACGTTCACATCTTGGCCTCAGAGAAAATCACGGCTCAAATCAACACAAGAGTAAAACTCAGGAGGAAGTTTCTGTTTCCACTAAACGATCCTGACAATCCGGAGGTAAAAAAACAAAGGACCAACATTTTAAATGGTTAATTTTACCATTTTTAATGTTTCTATTAGCAGCGGGTCTAAAGATGGATCTTTAAATTTGTTCTTTGAGTTTTCGACGAGGAACTGGTTCATCCTTTGAGCTTCGAACCTTTTTCAAGACCTTTGACTCTGTAAATTTGCCCCTTTTCACAGAAACACTCATTTCTTTGGCCGTTTCATTTTATGGGGAAGAAACAAAAACGCTGAATAAAGTTGAAAATAAAACAATAAAAAGAACAAAAAATTGAAGTATTTGATCCTCAGACTCGACGTGACTTAGTCTTTGGTGAAGAAACTGAAGTGGCTTCTTCTCTGCACAACAATTAATCATTAAACACAGAGACGGAAGACTCTGGACTCTGACGGGACAGCAAAGCTGGGCTTTACCGAAGCACAAAAACACCGACACAAACAGTCTTCTACCTTAAAATAAAATAAAATAAAAAAACTTCTCACAACTTTCTTTCGATGAAGTCATCCTGTACCCTTGCACAAGTATTTCTTCTCTTCCTCCAAACATCAAATCACGTTGGTGCCAACAAGCTGGACTTTACTCTCTTCTGATGCAGGACTTTCTCTCAAACCTTTAGAGGTTCACAGTCAAACTGAAGACAGGCCTGTCCATGTGTCCATGTGTCTTCTTCTTCAGGGAGACCTTCAGTCCATCATTATGTAGCGTTGTACCAATGGTACAAGGAGCCGCAAGAGGAAGGGGGAATGGTGGCTTTAACCACCATGGACTCATCTTCGGCCACCTCAGTCATTTGATGAAACTATACTTTTAAGCAAAATAAGGACTAGTGACTGGTGGCCATCTTGGTTTTTGACATGGCAACCCTATTTTCAAAAGGATCCCTTTATGCTCACAGCATGGACAAACGGATGGACGGAGTTTATTTCCAGTTCCCCTCTTCACTCCACGACGGGGAACAATAAACCTCCAATAAAAATTAGAGACTGGTCATTTTTTTGTAAAAAAGGTCACTCCAGTAGGCGTGTCGAACTCGGTTAACAAAAGGAGCTAACATTTAAAAACTTTGTCTGAGCCAAGGGCCACTTTCAGCTGATACCTGAACTCGAGTCAGATTCCTGAGATCTGTTCTGCAGGTTCATCAACAAAAGTTTGATCCGTCTCACTTGATGTTCTGCTCTTTCCACATCAGAATCAGTAACGACAGAATGATCCAGCCTTCCTTCTGGCTTCAGTTAGCAAGAGAAGTCCACATTAAATTATGTATTTATCTTTTGTTAAGAAAAAAATTAGAAGAAATATAATATTTTACATTTAAATTATCATCTTGGGGGACCAGATTTGGCCCGCAGCTCTTGAGTTGGACACATGTGCTCCAGAGGGAGAATTTACAGTTTTAACTTAAAACCTTGATATATATATAAAGACCTACGTTTGTGAGACGTGTTTTTTTTTTCCCCCAAGTTGTTCACGCATCTTTAACTGATCTCTGAATCAGGTTGAGATGGAGAAGCAGACATAAAAACCTACCACACGTGTAGCAGAAGCAAGTTATTTAAGGTGTCACGCAGGATGACACACAACATCTGTATTCAACAACGTGTTTTAAAACCAAACAAAGACTGTAAACCTGTCGAACCAGGACCTGTCAATAACAAGAGACTGGTCGGACGTTACGCAGATGAAGAACGTTGTTTCAGTGGAAACTTTGACTCTTCGTCTTGTCAAAGTGCATTCAGCTTCTAATGAGCTGAGATAACAGCTGCAGGAGTTCTGATCAGTGCAAGCACAAAGGAAGAGTTTGATTCACTACTTAAAGTCTTTGTTGTGCATTTCAGCCACTAGTTAACACAAGCCAGTGCATCTCTGGTTCTGGTCCCAAGCCCGGGTAAATGGTTAGGGTTGTGTCAGGAAGGGCATCTGATGGAAAACACTTTTGCCACAACTAATATGCAAATTCATAAAGCGAAACCAAACTGGGTCGGTCGAGGCCCGGGTTAACAACAGTCGTCACCGGTGCTGTTGACAAACAGGGTGCAGGAGGAAATGGTGCAACTGTTAGTCGAAGACCACGAGGAGGGAAACGTGTCAGAGGGAGAAGAGGAAAGTGAAGAATGTAGGACTGAGAGTTGTAGCTCTAAATGTGGGGACAATGACAGGCAAAGGTAGAGAGCTGGCTGACATGATGCTGAGAAGGAAGGTAGATGTTTTATGTGCACTAGAGACCAAGTGGAAGGGCAGCAAGGCTCGCAGCATTGGAGCAGGGTTCAAACTGTTTTACCTCGGTGTGGATAAAAAGAGAAATGGAGTAGGGGTGTTCCCGAAGGAGGAGGTGGCAAAGAATGTACACCGAGTGGCCAAAAAAAAGTTGCCACCTGGATTTAAGCGAAGCGAGCCTCCTATTGGATAATTACTCCATGGACGATGATCTTTCAGCTGCAACAAGCTATTTAACCCCAACTGGTGTAATGAGTTGATTCTCTTTTCTTAAACAACCATGTTGAAAGACACATCTCGTGGTCGTGGAAAAGATGTCAGTCTGTTTGAGAAGGGTCAAATCATTGGCATCAAGCAAAGAAAACATCTAAACTACTAAAATTGTGTTAAGAACTGTCCAATGCATTATTAAAAACTAGAAGGATAGTGGAGACCCATCGTCTCCGAAGAAAGAAATGTGGCCAGAAACAAATCCTGAATGATCGTGATCGGCGATCACTTAAACGTTTGGTGAAATCAAATGGAAGAAAAACACCAGCAGCACTCAGGGCTGTGGTTAGTAGTGAAAGGAAGAACATTTCCACACACACAATGCGAAGGGAACTCAAGGGACTGGGACTGAACAGCTGTGTAGCCTTAAGAAAACCACTAACCAGTGAGGCTAACTGGAAACAAAAGGCTTTAATTTGCTAGGGAGCATAAAGATTGGACTCTGGAGCAATGGAAGATGGTCATGTGGTCTGATGAGACCAGATTGACTCTGTTCCAGAGTGATGGTGCATCAGGTGAAGTGATGCACCATCATGCCTAGTGTCTAATCAATAAAAGATCTTGGTGACAAATTAATGCAACACTGGATTGTGACATTGAAGAAGTTTACAGAAACAATGACACAGTGAATGCATGATGTAATCAAAGCTAAAGGCAGTCCAACAAAATATTAGTGTGTGACCTTTTTTTTGGCGAAGCAGTGTAGTAGAGGTGTAAAGAATGTCAGATGGGGTGATGTGCCTGAAGGTAGCATTAGAAGGTCTGATGTTAAACATTGACAGTGGTTATGCTCCACAGGTTGGATGTGATGAGGAGGAGAAAGACACATTTTGGAAAAATCTGGATGAAGCGATAGAGAGTATTACCAGGTAGGAGAGAGTGGTGATCGGAGCATACCTGAACGGACATGTTGGTGAAGGAAACAGAGGGGATGAGGAAGTGATGGGTAGGTTTTGTGTCAAGGAAAGAAACAGGGCGGGGACAACAGGACAGGTATGAGGACAGCAGGAAAGTGATGAGATGTGCTGTAGGAGTGACAGATAGTATCAAGGTGGAGGTGGGAGTGCATCAAGGATAGGCTTCGAGCCCCTTCTAGTTTGCTCTGGTGATGGACCGACTAACAGATGAGGTCAGGCAAGAATCCCCATGGAAGATGATGTTTGAAGATGACATTGTGATCTGTGATGAGAACAGGGAACAGGTGGAAGAGAACTTTGAGAGGTGGAGGTATGCACTTGAAAGAAGAGGAATGAAAGTCAGTCGTAGTAAGACAGAGTCCACGTGTGAATGAGAGGGAGGAGGTGGAACAGTGAGGCTACAAGGAGCAGAGGTCACAAAGGTGCAGGACTTCAAGGACTTGGGGTCCACTGTCCAGGAACATGGGGAGTGTGGTGAAGAGGTGAAGAAAAGAGTCCAGGCAGGATGGAGTGATGGAGACAAGTTTCAGGAGTGATTTGTGATAAAAGGGTGGCAGCAAAGGTCAAAGGAAAAGTTTATAAGACAGTGGTGAGACCAGCTATGATGTATGGTCTGGAGACAGAGACATGGACAAAAAGACAGGAGACAGAACTGGAAGTAGAAATGAAGATGTTGAGGTTCTCCTTAGGAGAGACAAGGATGGAGAAGATTAGGAATGAGATCATCAGAGGTACAGCACAGGTTGAACAACTGGGAGATAAAGTTAGAGAGGACACACTGAAATGGTTTGGACATGTCCAGAGGAGGGACAGTGGTTTGGACATGTCCAGAGGAGGGACAGTGGGTATATTGGTAGAAGGATGTTAGAAATGCAGCTGCCAGGAAAAAAACAAAGAGGAGATATATGGATGCAGTTAGAGAGGACATGGAGGTAGTTGGGGTGAGGACAGAGTGAGATGGAGGAGGATGACTCGCTGTGGAGACCCCTGAAGAGGGAAAAGCCGAAAGAAGAAGAAGAAGAAGAAGATTGTGCATTTCAGGTCGACACAGCAGGATAACCCAGATTTGCTGAAGGACCAGAGTTTTTCTGAGCAGATTCTGCAGATGACAGCCGTTGACGTTGTAATAAATAAAACAAATAATTCTAACGTCTCGAATGTTTGATGCTGGCAAACAAGTTTCACAGAAGCTAAAACTGAGCTGAAAGCTAAAAGTACCAAAAAGCTACTGAGCTGCAAGGTGGGGAGAACATCCACAGTATCAACACTGACCCCGTGTTTACACAACGGCGTTTTTCAGTGAGCACCCCCGCTAAGGACTCGACTGGGTACTCTGAACTGCACAGTCAGAGCCCGTCCTCCGCCCGAAGGTGCAGGGAAACCACCCTCTCATCCACCGGGGAAACTCCAACACAGTCACCAAGTCAGGAAGCTAAGAGTAGACCCAAACCAGGTCGGCACCTCTCACCAGGGGCAACTCCAAAGTGGAATAAGGTCCAGCTCCTCTCAAGGAGATCAGTTCCAGAGCCCATGCTGTGCGTCGAGGTGAGCCCATCTAGATCTAGTCGGCACCTCTCAACTTCACGTTTCTCCGCTAGAGAGGTTGCCTTCCATGTTCCAGGAGCAGCTTTGGTAGGCCAGGGTCAGAGTGCCAAGGCCCCCACCTTCAGCTACCACCCATGGCACCATGCACCGGACTCATACAGCCCCTCCTGCAGGCGGGCCCACAGGAAGGCAAATCCCTGTAACTCCTTCAAGGGGCCCAGTCAACAGGTGCTCAGTGATGAGCACCTTCCCTCGGCCTGGCTCCAGGGTCGGGCCCTGGTAAGCCTCATCTCTAGTTGTCTTCTGTCTCAGGTTACAAGTATACATGTATTTTCTACCCCCAGAGGTGGGGTGTGCCCACCACAGACAGTATGCAGTAGATTTTTCTACGTGGGTAGACAAGTGACAGTTACGACGGTGGATAGCAGAGTGCTGTTTGTGCTGATCGCCCTTTTCAACATGTAGGAGCAACCCAACCTCCACGGTCCAAACCATCGTTGGAATATTCATCATTTTGGAAGGAACTGTTTTCATCCTTGAGTCTGCATGCTCCTCTTGTAAAAAGCCCGGCATCAGTGCTGTCAGATATACAATAATTACCATTTTATAAGAATTTTAGAGACAAGCGTCCCTCCATTTCTTTGCACGTTTTCCAATCACAACACACAGTTCATCTTATAACCTCCCTCCTCTCCTTCACTGAGCTTCAGAGTCAGAGTCAGAGTCAGAGTTTCTTTATTGTCATTCGCACCTCATGTGGTACATGTGGTGGAGCGAAATTATGTACACAGGGTCCCAGTTACATCCAACAATAAAATGTATAAGAAAAACAGTAATAACATCTAAGATATGAACTAAGAAAAACATCAACTAAATATACACTAAGCACTCATAACATAAAACATTGAACATCACCACAAACATGAACATGAGTCTGTGAGCAGATGTGCACGCATGAACACATCAACATTGAAACAGATCAGCAGCAACATGAAACAGATCAGCAGCAACATGAAACAGATCAGCAGCAACATGATATGGTTTTTCACAGTGATTATTCTAGTTAGAGATTCATGAGTCTAACAGCCTCAGGGTAGAAGCTGTTCCTCAGTCTAGTGGTTCTACACTTAATGCTCCTTAACCTCCTTCCTGAGGGGAGTGGGGCAAAAAGTGTGTGTGCTGGGTGGGTGGGGTCCTTCATGATGCAGGTGGCCCTCTTCCTGCATCTGGAGGTGTAGATGTCTGTGATGGTGGGGAGACTGACTCCAACAGATTTCTGTGCAGCCTTCACCACTCTCTGCAAAGCTCCTCTTTCTGCAGCTTGTATAATAGTTTGGGTCAAAATACAATAATTTGAACGCAACAGTACAATCGTTTGTCATTTCCTATCTGGCAACCCTTCCTGGCATAGAAACTACGAGTGCAGCATTCCTCATGTAAACAAGTTTTAATTACAATAATTTGCCACAACCAACGTTAGAAGCACACTAATGTTTCCAGAGGTGGCTCACGTGTTAACGGGGCTTAAATACGAAGATTATCTTTACACAACAAACACTCCTTAGAGTTCAGAGGAGGAGATTCTGTAACCGCAGCTGTGAGTCACGCAGCTATAATCAGGCAATTTGACTCTGGAAGTTTCCAAATAAAACACATCCGTCACAATCGTCAAGCTTTACGTGAACGCCTGACAAACAAGTTCTGACACCGGCAGAGGATCCGCCTGCTGTCTGAGCTCAGCCGAAGGATGCCGAAGCTTCCGCCGTGATAAATCCAGTTTTATTGTAAAGACAACAAAACACTGCGGTTCGGTTCTCGGCCCAAAGCCTCCACCTTTAAAAGCTGCCAAGGATTCTGACCGAGTGTCATCTAAAACAGAAGATCAACTTAAAGAAGCTCAAAGGAGCTAAAGGAAGCTGAAATTAGCACAAAGAAGTTGAAAAAGGCTAAACCAGAACAACAGCTGAAATGAGCAGTAAAAGGCTGTAAAGAGCTGAAAGAGTTTGAAGGATGTGGAGAGCTCCATTCATTTTCAATGACAAAAACATGGCCGACAAAGCTAAATATTTTAAAAAGTAAAAATTAACCAAAAAACAAAATTCACAGCAGGAATGTCCTGAATGAGACGAAAGTTTTGATTCATAAGTGTTGAAAGAAATCAAAACATGCGGAACGAGTAACGTGCCGAAAAACATACGGAAAACAAATTCTCAACAGCGAGAAACGTTTATAAACATTTATAAACATTTAGACAACAATCAACAACGTCCGTCTGGATAACAGCACAGGTAAGAACACCTGAGCCGACAAATTCAAATGTAGCGCTCTGTGATGGAAGGCATATCGCCCGCCGCCTCGCAAAGTCTTAACCAAAGATCATGTGTGATCCATTAGAGCTCAGGGATGTGTTGAGGATGATTATCAGATACTACCACCCAAATATTAGCTCAGCATCGGCAAAAATGACCGAGTTAGAATCGGTTTTGCGTTTGACAGTTAGCTGCTGCAGCCATATTGAATTGGGCCGGCTCCAAATGTTAATGAGAAGATATGTTGCCTGATTGGATAGCATGCTAACACTGAGCTAACTTTCAGCTAATTCTGAGCTAACTTTGAGCTAACTGAGCTAACTTTCAGCTAATTGAGCAAACTTTGAGCAAACTGAGATAATCTGAGATAACACCAAAGTTCTTTCTCAATAATCCAGGTATAAAATCCAACAATGTTCAGTCAGGTCATCTGGACAGTTTATTTTTGTGCGGAGACGTTTCATCCATCATCCAACGGACTTCTTCAGTTCGAGGAACCACCAAACAAACCTGATTCTCCATCAACAGCTTATTCCAGAGAGGAAATAAACAGATTGCTGGTGCTGAGACGACTTTCAGCTAATTCTGAGCAAACCGAACAAACAGAGCTAACTTTGAGCTAACTGAGCTAACTTTGAGCTAACTGAGCTAA